TGCGAGGAACATCCCCCGGGGTTCCTGCGAGGAACATCCCCCGGGGTTCCTGCGAGGAACATCCCCCGGGGTTTGTGCAGGACACCAAGGACTGCTGGCAGAACAGGTTCTCCCATCCCTGGGCGTGTTCAAAGCCAGCCTGGACACAGCTTGGAGCACCCCGGGATGGTGGGGTGGCCTTGCCCATGGCAGGGGGTGGCGCTGAGGTCCCATCCACCCCAAATTACTCTATGGAACATCACTGCAATGGAGCAAACCTGTTCCTATCCACCTGAAAAGCAGAGCAGGGAAGGTTTCCTGCTCTTATTTCCGCAAGGATTTTGTCCTGCGCTCCTCTTGGAGCCCCAGGTCTGCCCAGGAGTGCTGGGACCCCCCAGCTGAGGGGGGCTGCTCATTCCTGCCCCGTCACCCACAGACACCTCAGCAGGACTCTGCTCTCCCTCTGCTGAGGGCACAGCCCTGCTGCCCTCATTGCAGCAGCAAGAACTGCTCTTCCAAAGGCCAAGGCAGGGAGGGAAAATAAATCTCTGAACCTCTCCCTCCTGCAGCAGCTGCTGCCTCCCAGCACGGGCCAAAGGCCCCACAGCCTCCCAGCACCTCCACAGCTGCTTCCCATTTGAGCTTAAACAAAACCAGGGGCTGCTGCTGGACCCAGACAAGTGGGACTTTATTCAGGGAGCAGCATCAGCGCTGTGTTCCCCCATCCAACCCCCAGCCCTGCCTTGTTACACAGCTTTAAACACTACTGATGGAATTGAAGGAATTTTTCAAGTTCATATCTCCCATTCCCCCCACCCCAAGCCCCATCTCTGAGCTGTTCAGGGCTCTCTTGTTTTTTAAGGAACATAAAGAGTTTTATTTCCTCCTGAATTGACCCACGGGGAACAATTGCCCACAGACCCTTTTTATGAGCCCCCTCATAAACAGGGAGGGCTGCAGGGAAAGCAGCAAAGCCTCTCATTGTTGCAGCACAGCACGAGCAGCGTGGCTCTGGGGACCTGTGCCCGAGCTGGCACTGCTGCCCCTGGGCCCGGGCACACAATTCCAGCACAGCCCGGCCTCCACACGTGTCAGGAGGGATTTTCCAGCACCCAGTGGGAAAGAATCCAGCAGAGATGTTCTGGGTTTGAGTCCCACTGAGGGGAGGAGGATGGGACTGCTGTGGCTGGAGCCAGCCCATTGCAAAGCTCCCACTGCATCCCTGCTATCCCTCCCACCACTCATCCTGGACTATTTATTTCTGCCCCGAGCACTGAATTCTGTCGGTGCTTTCTGCCTGAAACAGCTGTGACAGCTTTCAGGTGAGGATTTCTCCCTGAAACAGCTCTGACAGCTTTCAGGTGAGGCTGTGGAACGTTTTCAAGGACAAATAAAGCATTCTTGAGACAGAACTGCAACTGGATTATTGCTTAATAAATGATATTCCATAAACCACGTTTCTGGACACCCCCAGGGACAGCTTTGGATGGTGTCACCTATTCTGAGAGAGGAGATTTTCCTACCTGTGACCTGATCTTCAGGGCAGGTCCCAGCTTGAGCCCCATGTTGTTCAGCAAGTGCTCCTCTGTCAGGAGGGGCAGGGTCTCCCCGTCGATGGCCTGCTCTCGGAATACCTGAGGGACACACAGGGCAGGCTCAGGGACAGCCCTCAGCCACCAGAGCTGCCCTGGCACCGTGCAAAAGGTGACCTGAAAAACCTCAGCCTGAACTGACCCACCAGGGCTGCATCCACGGCCTGGAGCCAGCCCTTTGCAGCCAGCTGGATTTTTATTGCAGAGCTGCACCACTCGCTGCACCCATTCCCTCCCTGCCTCTGCAGGAGCAAAACCCTCCCTGGAACACTCCATGAAAATCCTGGCCTTGGGGAGCATCCCTGGGTGTCCCCCAGCTCCAGGGCAGAGACAAAGCTGAACCCTGGCCAGGCCGGGGCAACTCTGGGCTGTGCTGAGGATCCCTGGCGGGCCTGAGCCGTGGTTCTGGAGCCACAGCATTCCAGGGAATTCTGCAGGGATTCCCTGGTTCTGGAACCACAGCATTCCAGGGAATTCTGCAGGGATT